ATATTGAATTATACCTGATTTTGATGTTCAAACTATTTCTAACTACCTACTACATTTACCCATATCTTAATATCAAACTTTGGTTACTTTCAAATTAGTTTTTTCGGAGAATTAGTCTTTTTTGGCCTTCCAATTTGGTATATCTGTTATTAGAATTTCTAGTATTGCTATACAGATAGCCTCTTGTGTATGTTTTTCAAGTCAGATATCTGTTACCTCTACTAGTCCCATATGAGAAGCATAGTATTATATATTGGATCTGAGGACTTATTTAGTGTTTACACTGCTCAGTTTATGTGATAGTGGATGAAAATGGAAATCCTATAGATCCAAACACTTTTCCTGGAAGTAGTGGGTTACTGGTTCCAGGTGAAAGGATGCGAAGGGCAAGTGTTAGATCAACAAATACTTTGAATACCGATTCAAAAACTATTCATAGTATAATTGAGGAAGATGTGATTGTGGATGAAAATGGAAATCCTATAGATTTAAACACTCTTTCTGGAAGTGGTGGGTTACTGGTTCCAAGTGAAAGGGTGCGAAGGACAAGCATTATATCAACAAAAACTGTTATAAGTCAAGTAAGTCAGATTATATATCAAGAAGAGAGTAGTGTAATTGAACATTCTGGGGAATTGGGTAATATTAATGAATAATCTGGGGAACTGGGTGATATTACCGATGTTGAAACTAAAGTTGTTGAAACTGAAATTGAACAAGTTGGAATAGGTGAAATTAGTGGATGAAAGTTAATTTTTGATTAATTATAATTATTAAATATTATGTTTGTATTAGATCTGAAATTTCGTTCTCAAATTAAATTGTGGTGTATTGGTTAGGTGTATTTTTTTCAGATTATGGAAATGTAATAAGCAAAAAAAAAAAAAAGTGATTATATTATTCTTAATGTACAAAGATCATTCTATGAATAAACTCTCCAAAGCGTATTAATATTTGGATTTAATAACTACTTCAATATAACGAAAATAGCATCGTTTTTAAATATACTTTTATAATTTTATTATTAGTTATTCGGTTCTAAGTAATTATGTAAATATATATATATATATATAGCATAAAATACGTGATCTTCATTTTAAGCCAAAGCCAAATATCCATGAAATAAAATGCCGGGTTCTTTTTTTGCTACAAAAAAGCTGCATTACAAGGGAGGTGAATGTGAGTATTATGGAGAGTTAACAGTTTTTACTAATAAACGTCTGCCAGAAACTTTTTTAAAAAATTTATACAGATTTTAACTTATTTTGTGCTTTATAAGGGGGAGCCCTAATTTCCCCCCCAAGTTCTGATTGGATGCATGAAATACCATCTCCAATTGGATAAAATAGGTCACGC